TTTAACTTTCACTGTTTGCTTTATGAGTTGTTCATAACCACCCATCATTCTTTGTAAGATTTTGCAGAAGTTTATATTCTAATCTAGGTAAGCAATTTCACCTTCCCTTCTCTTCCCTCCTTTTCCTTCCCTCTTCCCCACCCCAACCCCTTTTATCTCTCATCTTTGCTTATTCTCTTAGCTCTGATGGGTCAGTTATCTGACTGTACGCAAACAGGTAACTTAAGGATAACTCCTTATAATATAATCAATTTCATTCTTCATGGTGTTATTTGATGCTTTAGTGCTTACCAATTCTTTTTTCTGAAAAAAAAATTATACTCTAGAGGTATGAAGCTTCAGTATAATCTACAGGTCTTTGTTATCTCTCATTTCTTTCTCAGGAATTATACTTTCCAGTGTATTTCTCCCCACCCTCGCTTTTCCCCTCCTTTGCATTGAAGTCACCAGGTACCCGAGTACATGTTGATTTGATATGGAAGGACTTATGATATTTTTCATAGATTATTTCAACCATTTCATTCTCAGTAAATTATACTGATTCATAAATTACAATTATTTTTATAGTGGTCTTTTTGCAAATGCTTATATAGACTACGTACAATAAAATGCAGTAATTAATTCAGGAGTATAAGCCTTAATGGAGATATAAAAATGACATCTTGAACCAGTCATTCAGCAAGCATTTATTAAACACCTACTGTGTGTCAGGTACCATGATAATAAGTACTAGGGATACAAATGCAAAGAATGAAAAAATTATTATGTGAAGAGTTTACATTCCAATGGAAGAGACAGAAAGTACATATATGAGTATACATTGTATAGATATTAAGTGAGAAATAAATGCATAATAGTAAAGGGGAGCACTAGCAGTTAGTTGGAATGCTTCATGAAGATGTGTCTTAAAGGAAGAGAGGAACTCTGAATCAGAGGTAATAAGGGAACACATTGTAAACATGTGGGATGGCCAGTGAAAAGACATTGTGTGTAGGGAGCAGAGATAAGGCCAGTTTGACTGCGTTGCACCGGATTGACAGGAATGTTGAATAAGAATAAAAGATTAGAAATTAAAAGTTGAGAACCAGGTCGTGAAGCTAAACGCAGGAGTTTTTATTTTATCCTTGAGATGATAGATAGGAAGTCATTGGAGTTGATTGAGAGCAGGAAAGTGACATTCAGATCTGCATTTAAGGAGAATTACTTTGGCATCATTGTATAGTATGGAATGAAACGATGAGGAATTTGTCAGGGAGACCAGTTAGGAAGCTGTTGCAAATATCCATGCAAGAGGTGATGAGGGCCTGACTTAAAGTGATAACTGTCTGGATAGAGAGAAGGTATTGGATGTGTATTTTGGAAGTAGAATCAGCAAGATATGCAAATGATTGGATATGTGTGAGGGATTAAGGAGTTGGGAATAATGCCAAGGATATAAATCTTATCACCTAAAATAATGATGCCTTTGACAGAAAAAGTGAAGTTTGGAAAAGGAGAAGTAAAAATAATGAGTTTTGATTTGGACATTTTGAGTTGTAGATATCTCTGGGACATTCTGTTTGAAATTTCTGCCATTCACAATGTGGGACTGGAGATCAGGAAAGAATATGGGGCTTCATAAGTATATTTGAGAGTCATTTGTATAGAGATGATAGTTAAATCCACATGATCCTATCAGCAGATGCACAAAGTTTTGGGGAAAATTATAATAAAACTTTAAAAAGCATAGAGATAGAAGGGACTTTGTAAATTATGATAAAATAGAATGTATCTAAACCCCAAAGCTTGCTTTTTCCTAATAAATTTAGGGTAGAACAAGCTTGTCAAATAAAAGTGGGGAGAAGTGACAACCTTGCTTTACCTCAGATTTATTAGGAAAGCATGCAGCCTATTTCCATTACAAATATTGCTAGCTTTGGGGTTTAGGTACATAGCAATTCACATTCAAAGACTCATAGAAATATTATTTTAAAACATTTTTTTTCTAGAAGGAAGGCAAAACATTGGAGGAATAAAGTGTTTATGGATGGCCATAGCAATATAGAAGTGATTGGGACTAAACCATTTTTGATTCAGGAAATTCCCAGATAAGGAAACTCCCCCCCCTCTTTTTTTTTTGGGCAGTTGGGGTTAAGTGACTTGCCCAGGGTCACACAGCTAGTAAGTGTTAAGTATTTGGTCTGAGGATGGATTTGAACTCAGGTCTTCCTGACTTCAGGGTCGGTGCTTTATCCACTGTGCCACCTGGCTGCCCCCAGGAAACTCCTTCTGTCAGTGCAAGTTGGCACCTTCTCTGCAACTTATGATTTTAAGGAGTTACCAAGAGTACTGAAGGGACAAGTGACTTTTCTCAGGTCGCACAGCCAGCTTGTGTCAGAGGTAAGGCTTAAGCCTTGGTCTTAGAAAACAGCTCTCTAAACCATGCCACATTAATAAAACAAAGATGACCATACTACAAAATTTAATTTACAGATTTCCAGGCACATATAACTATATGGTAGGTTCACAGATTTAGAGCAGGAGGGGAGTTTGGTCATCAAATCCTACCTTACCATATTGCAGACAAGGAATTAAAGCCCAGGACATAAAGCAACTTTCTCCAAGGTTGGGTAGTAGTGACAGCTGAGATTTGAACCCAGGACTTCTGACTCCAAATCCAGTGTTCTTTTCACTATGCTTCTCTATACTTTTTATTTATGGATTAAATTTTTTTGAGTAGATGAATGAAACAGATCAATGGAGCAAGAAACAAAAATGCTGCAACTCTGTATCCCAGGGTTTGGTCAGCCCACTAACATAAACAATTGAGGGAAGGATTCCTTATCTCTCAGGAACCTATGGGTTATCTATAAAGTAGTTTGGTAGAAAATAAATTTAAATGACCGTGTTGCATTGTATGGTATAATAAGTTCCATATGGATACATGCCCTAACTATAAAAAAAATTAGAGGATAATAAAAGGAAGAACCTTTCATATTTATGGCTAGTGGGAGAATTTTTAGTGAAACAAGGAAGAGAAATGATAGTGTGGAGATGGTGATGATAATAACAATAATGATGTTATACTCCTGAGCACAGAATTTGAAGAACTTGGATTTAAATCTGCCTTCTACTTCTCTGATAAAATCTGATATCTGATGTCTGATTTTTAGGGGATTAATACAGATATATAAAACCAAGAGCCTTCCCCGATAGGTAAGATGTGAGTAGTTTTCAAAAGAATTGCGAACACTCAGCAACTATATGAAAGATTGTGCTTAATCTCTTATAATGAGAGAAATGTGAACTAAAACAGCTCTGACATTTCACCTCATGCAACAATTTGGGAAAAAATTGATAAAAAGTGGAACATAGTGTTCAAAGGATTGTGGGAAAACAGACACAGTAGTGGAACTATAAATTGGTCAGTCAGTAAGTCAGTGAACATTTATGAAGCACCTACTGTGTGCTAGGCATTGTATTAAGCTATGAGGACACAAAAAGAAGAAAAGACAGCTCCCAGCCTCAAGGAGATCTACTATTCTGGAAATAAATTTAGAATTATGTAAGCAGTATCACTAAATTGTTGACCCAGAAATCCAACTACTGTTTGGTAGGTTCACAGATTTAGAGCTGGAAGGGAGTTTGGTCATCAAGTCCAACCTTGTTATGTGGACTTGTTATACACACATAAGTATGTATATCCTAAAGATCTCAAAGAGAGAAGCAGTGCCATATATACTCAAATATTTATAGTAAAACATTTTATGGTAGCAAAAAACTGGCAACAAATTGGGTACCTGTTGATTGAGAGGATAGCTGAACAAGTTGTGGTATGTGAAATGTCTCAGAATATTGTTGTGGTATAATATTTGATGAACTGATAAAGACTGGAATGAGTGGAATCAGAACAACATTATATACATTGATTATAATAATGTAAATGAAAGAACTGTAAAATGAAGCTAATTGTTGAGTGATTGTAATGACCAGTTTGGACCTGAGAGAAGAGATAAGGAAATGTACCTCTCTTCTTTTAGTAGAGATCATAGTCTCTGGGAATAGAATGTTCAGAACAGGATCAGATAGTCTTTTTTTTCTTCTTACAAGTTGGAGCTTATTGGGATGGAATGGGTTATGATATGCAGAAAAGACTGATATAGACACAGAAGTCATCAGTAAAAAGAATAGGAGCTTTTACTCAGTGTCAGAGTATAAGAGGATATCATCCCTGAAATTATAATGTAAATCTCTGCAAAAATAAGATTTTATTTAATTTAAATTTTCTGGAATAACATATATTTAGGAACACTCCATTTCTTGCCCCTTGGACTTTATACTGATTTCTTCCCACTTTCACCTTTAGTTTCCCTGGCTTCCTTCAAGATTCAGATCAGTTCCTACCTTTTGCACGAATTCTTTCTTTCTCTCCCCTACTGTTTCTACTGTTTCCCCTCAAAGATTACCTTCTAGCTACTCTGTGTGTGTATCTAGTTATTTATATGTCCTCTCTCTCTGCCTTCCTCACCCCCATATGACCTTTTTTTCTTCCCTTCCTTCCTTCCCCTTCCCCTTCCTCCCCTTGTTTCCATCTTTCCCTTTCCTTCCTTTTTCTAGTAAAAGATGATTAACCCGTATGTGATTAGAAATACACAGACCAGTTAACAAAGTAGTGGTTTGCATTATGATCTTACTGATATTGGAGAACTTCCTGTTTATTGTAAGACCATCTGTTCATGATGTGAAAGTGGTGCTTATCATAGTGCTGTACACATAGTGATTATTTAATCAATATTTGTTATTGATGAATGGTGTCTTTAAGTTAAAATATTAAGCATGCTTTTGTCTGGGTATTATGTTTGTTCTAGTTCTAATTCCATATTGTGAAATAATTTTGAAATATTTATGTTCCAGTGAAATGATAAGCTTTTTAAAAAAATTGAGTATTGAAAAAAGTCCCTCAAATATTTTGTATACCTATTATGCTCCAACGAAGCACTTTCCTCTTCTTTCCTTCCCAGTGCTGAACTGAAGCTCTTAGAGGAAGCCACTGTCTCAGTCTGCAAGTCTTTAGGTAAGAGAATTAATATTGGCTGATGAACAGGTCTTCTTTTATGATAATCTATAGTTTTAGCATGCAGCATTCCTCAAATATGGATTAAACACTCATTTATAAGATAATCTTGTTTCTCAAGAAGTTAGTTCACTAGCCCATATTTTTGTAAACAACTTAACAGTTTTGATTTGGTTCTTTTAAGCAGTCAAGGTTTAAAGCTGAATTGGTTAACAAGGTGTTTAATGAATGTTCTTTTTTAAAAAAGCACTCCACTCTTCTAAAATCCTTTAGGAGGAAAGCACATTATAGAAAAATTGTATATTAATATGATTCAGCTGCTTCCTTGAACTATGGTGGCAATATTGACTGTGAGAATTCTGTGTATATTGGAATGTGCTTAAGAGGGACAACAGCATTTTGCAGCTAAGAGTTCATGGTGTAATGAGTATGATATGGGGGTAGTTAAAGTTAGCTTCTTGGAAAGAGGTGAACACAGGACTAGATTTGGATGGAAGGGATGGGCATGAATTGGTAGAAAAAGAGGATTGGGGACATTACAGGCGGGGCACATGGCATGAGGAAAGGCAGGGGAGCAGGAAAGAGTGTGTAGCAAGTAGCACCATGTTCTTTCTACTATGCCGTATTTTGTCATTAGAATGGAAGAACAGGAGCTATATATAGAAGGTTAGATTTGGACTTTAGTAGGCTTTAGATGAAGAAATTAATCAATCGATAAGCATTTATTAAGTGCCTAGTATGCTTCTTCAGTCAGTCAACAACAAGCATTTATTAAGTGCCTGCTGTGTGCCAGGTACAGTGCTAACCACTGGAGATGCAAAAAAAAAAATAGTCCTTGCTGTCAGGGAGCTCACAGTGATATGGAGGTGACAACATGAAAACAGCTATGTACAAACAAAATATATACAGGATGAATTGGAGGTAGTTTTAGAGGAGGCACTAGTATTAAGGGAGATGGTCAGGAAAGGTTTCTTGTAGAAAGTGGAATTTTTAGCTGAGCCTTGAAGAAATCCAGGGAAGCCAGAAGACCAGGCCAGAAGACAGATTAGGAAGAGGAGAATTTCAGGCATGGGGAGAGCCATTGAAAATGTCTGTAGTCTTGTGTTATCAGGAAGAATCCAGATTTTAGTGAGTTCAAAAAGATGCAGCGAGAGGGAAAGGAAAAGGCTTAAGATGAAAGCAAGTTTATTATCTATGGAGCAGGCATTTCAAGAGTGCTGGGGTTACAGATTCACTGGAATGATTTTTTTTTAAATTATAAAAACTTCCTCTTTATTCAAGGGATTTAAACAGAACAGACATTTCTTGAATAAAATGGAAAGTTTCCAACAAATCAAAATATAAATCCATTAAGCCACCTTGTACACAACCTGGTGGGAAAAGATACAAACAGCAACAATTATACATGCCCCACAACTAAAGCAGTGATGAGTCTTCAGTCACTCTTGGTGCTTTGTCCATCTACCCAATGTGTTGGTTTGTCTACACACCCAATGTGTAAGATTGGGTGAGAGTTTGTTAAATTGGTCAGATAGTCAGTCAGTAAGCATTTATTAAGTGCCTACTATGTGTCAGGTACTATGCTAAGTATTGGGGGTACAAAAAGAGCCAAAAGACAGTTCTTGGCCCTCAAGGAACTCACACTCTAATGAGTTCAGTAGGTTATCAACATCCCCAGGGAGAATTTGGCCTTAGACAAAAAGACAGGAAATAAGCATTTATTAATCACTTACTATATTCCAGGCACTGTACTAAGTGCTGGAGATAAAAATGCCAGCAAAAACAGAGTCCTTCCTCTCAGGGACCTTACATTCTCAAAGAGGGAATGGATAGGGGAGGGAAATGAAGGTACCTGGCCAGGGGCTGTGGTTTTGAAGTCTGGAAGTCAGAAATGGGACCAGGAAGGATGTGAATCCTCAGGGAGTTAGGCAGCAGGGTGTAACTGGAAAAGAAGGAGAGGGGGCATTTTGCTAGGTTTTTGGGATACAAAGAGAAATGTTTCCTGTTCTTGCATTCAAGGAGCTTACGTTCTGTGTAGGGAAGGCAGTGTGTACATTTACATATATATGTACATATGTGTGTGTGTGTGTGTGTGTGTGTGTGTGTATACACACATAAGATGATTTGGGAGAAGAGGGTTCTAGTAGCTGGGAAGATTGGGATTGCAGAGACCTTGGCATGTTTGTAGGCAATGGGAAGAAGACATGGAGGATTGTGATTAAGGTTACAGATAGAAAGGTTGGCCTTGGTAAGGAGAAGGACCGTCTCTTCATCAGAGACAGGAATAAAAGGAGAGAAGGGACCATGATGTCATGGGGTTGTGAGATATAGAGAAGAGGAGCCTCATGGCTTTTATTTTCTTAACTAAGTATGAGGCCAGGTCCTCTGTGGAGCCAGTAGGCGTAGGGGTTGTGTGGGAAACTGAGGGGGGAAATTGGTTTGGAATAGCCACTGTGGAAAGTATGATACAGAATCATTTTATGGAGGGGATAAAAGGATTGCCTTATTTCAGTGATGACCTAATTGAGATTAAATAAGAAAGGCTGTTAGGTGGTTCAGTGGATAGCGTGTTGGCTGTGGAGTCAGGAAAGCCCAAGTTCAAAGCCAGCCTCAGACACTTAACTAACTTTATGACCCCTGGGCAAGTCATTTAATATCTGTTTGCCTTAATCCATTGGAAAAGGAAATGGAAAACTACTCTAGTATCTTTGCCAAAAAACCCTGTAGATGGCGTTGATGTGCTTTGGTCCATGAGGTAACAAAGAGTTAGGATTGAAAAGCAACAACAACAACAACAATGAAATTTGTAGTGGACCTACTATGTATGATGGATTGCATGATTTCCTCTAGCACCATTCAGTATATATATATGTACATATTGTCTTCATTGATAAAATACATGCTTCTTGAGGGCAGGAATTGTTTTACTTTTCTTTGTGGCACTAATGCCTGGCATATAATAGGTACTTAATGAATGAAAAAGAACTTAAGCACTTATGTGCAAAGCACTGTGCTTTAATAAATTTAATGAATAATTGCTGATTTATTATATTTCACCTTGTTTTATAAATTACTTTCTTCACAATAATCCATGTAGGTAGTACAATTGTAAAGAGCCTTTGAGATCTTTTAATCTGACCTAGAGCAAGAATCTTTTCTATGCTATGGCTGCCGTATGGGCATTCAGCCTATGCTCAAATGCTTCCAGTGATTTTCCAGTGATAAAACACTTGAAAGTTTTTTGTTCTTCTTGTTGTTAGGTTGAGCTGAAATCTCCCACCTTGAAATTTCCACCCATTGATCCTAGTTTTACTTTCTACACAAAACAAGTCAATTCTTTAGCAGCCTGACAGCTTTCCAAATATTTTAGAACAGTTATATACCCCTTACTCATCATCATAATCAACATTGTCAGTTCCGGACCCCTTAATATTTCATATTCACTCCTTTAGTTGAAACCATTTTGTCAGCTTCCTCCTAAATTGTGGTACTAAGAATTGAATATTATTTCGGATATGGTCTGACCAGCATAGAGGCCAAAGGTACCATCATTTCCCTTTTTGTTATGATACTGTATTCATGAAAGGCAAGGTTCCATTGTGATTTTTGTTTGCCATATCACAGAGTTGACTTATGAACTTGAAGTGAAATGGAAACCTCAGTCACATGAATGGCTGTTAAATCACATCTCTTCCATCTTACATTTGTTCATTTGGCTTTCTGAAGCCATATGCAGAAGTTTATATTTATCTGTTAATCAGTATCCTTTGGGGACAGTCATTTAACTAGTTACGTGTAAGAAAAGCAGTGTGATTCAGTGGAAAGAGTGCTGAATTTTGAGTCAGAATTGATTTTGAATTCCAATTTTGTCACTTAATACTTTTGTAATCTTGGGTAAGTTACTTAACAACCTCTTTGGGCCTTAGTTCCCTGATCTCTAAAATGATAGGATTGAACTAGATGGCCTGTAAGGTCCCTTCCTCTTCTAAAAATTATGATCCAATGAAAACACAAGGCTCATTTCTCCATATTGTCTATAAGGATAGTATGAGGGACTTTGTCAAATTGTGTCTGTGATCTGCTTTTATAATAAATTCATTAAAAAAGGAAATTTGATTATTGTAATTTGTCACTTAAATTGTCATGATATCTAATCATCACAATTTCTGTTTTTTAACATACGTTATATCAAAGTACTTTGATGACTCCAAAGCACCAAATGCTTATAAACCTATACTATGATTAAGGACCAAGAAATCTCATGTTTAATAATATGTTCTAAATTTTGCTTCCTAGTCCATACTTTTCCAAATCCATGCTTTTCTCTGTTTTGAAATTGGGACAGTATTTGCCTGTTTTCAGTCTACTGGTACCTCTCTCATTCTTTAGGATTTGTCAAAGATGATTGACAGCTGTTCAGTCAGTGATCATATCTTTAGGTTTTTTCATTGTTCTACCATAGAGTTCATCAGAGCCAAGAAATGAGAAGTCATTTCTCAAATGCTTTCCTTTCCCATCTTAAGATTTGATTCACACTTATCTATGTTTATTCTATTCTTTCTAGCTTCAGGATAATTTCTTTTTTTCATATGTTGACAGTGTTTCATTTATCCTGAGCTTCTGCCTCTTTGTTGTTCTTGCTCCTTGCATACCTTTCTTTCCCCTCTGCCTTCTCAACCATCCTCCACTCTCAGCAAACAAACCAACAAACAAAGCCCCATTTATTGTCATAACATTTTTTAGAGCTTCTCCTTGGCTTTAGTCATTCTGACATTTATATGGGTTAGTGCCACGTTTTAAAATTTTTTTCTTTATTTATCTGCTTTCCTTTCATCTATTCTATTTATCCTTTTAATCTGTGGATTCACTTGGAGAAACAATCCAGTCATTCTGGTTTCTTTAAAAGTTCTCTCTTTTTTTCCCATCATTGAGACATTTATTATTGTGTTGCGGGATTCCATTTTTTAGAGCCCTTCTTCCCTCTTTATCCAGCTTTCATTTTTGGAGTCTGTTGTTTCATAGTTCTAATCAGTTTTTCCTTGTTGGCTAGAATTATGTCTAGACCAGCAGTTTCCTTTGTTGTTCCCTCCAACTTCTGGGTGTTGAAATTATTTATCAGTAAGGCACACCAAGAACATAGAGATTCTCAGATTTGAGGTGAACAAGGTTTCTAGCAGACAGCTTGACAGCTGAAGCTCTTTTTGCTATATCTAATTGGCTCTGTGCTAGTTTTGTAATTTAGCAGCATGCCATAGTGGATAGAGAACTGGCTTTGGAAAGATATGGGTTCAAGTTTCTCTGCTGTCACATAGTCACAGAGCAAGTCACTTAAACCTTTCAGAGTGCTTTTAGGCTCTAAGACTGTAAGTTGTAGAGAAGGTGCCAACCTGCATTAGGAGAGGGAGTTTCCACAGCTGAGAATTTTATACCAATGAAATCACATATCCAGTCCTTAATCTGAATTCTACACTAATGTGATTATAATAAATGGTTTTTGACTCTTAAAACTTCATTTTTTTCCCCTTGCAGTTGAAAATAATCCTCGAACAGGCAACCTTGGAGCACTTATAAAGGTCTTCCTTTCTAGAACCAAAGAATTAAAGATTTCAGCAGAATGTCAAAAGTAAGTTGCATGATGAAATTCTAATGCCTTTATATTTAATGTAATGCCATGAAGGTTTTGACTGTTCATTTACTGGTTGAAGTGGACTGCAGTTGTTTCTTTGTTAGCCCATCTGGTGGCATTATGCCATTTTTATGAGGATAATAAAGCACAAGAAGAAAGATTATAATCAATTGACATAAACAGCAAAATAAATGGAGTGGATGTAATTTTTGGAATATTTGAGCTTCCAAGCTCAAATGTGTGTATAGATGTGTATATAATGTGTATAGATGTACACACACACACACACACACACACACACACACACACACACACGTGCTATTTAGGTAGTAGATTTAATAGTAACATTTATGACATTTGGAGTTTTTTAATTTGCCATTGTCATAACTGGATTGATTTTCTTTCAATAATATTCAAAATTGGATAGTAACTCACAAATCTGCTTCCATGTTGTCTTTCACGTTGGATTATTTATGTTTTCTGTATTTACATTTTCTGTCGAATTTAAAAGGTTAAGGAAGGTGCTTCCTATATTTAAGAAGACAAACCAAATGGTCTTGCAGCAGCATCATTTTAAAATTATTAAGTAAACCCATTTGTATTCTGTCAGATACCACATAAAGACAACTGTGCCCTGGAAGGTTCAGAAACTGAGCATTTCCAGGGCATTGTCATTGATTGTTCTGTGTGAGCAAATTATAAGAAAATTACTGAAATTATGGATGGTCTTGCTAATTAAGGAACTCATAAAAATTAGGCTATCTTTTGGAGAGTGTTAAGGCCTCAGGTATACCTTGTTTTCATAAAATAAGCATTTTTGTCAGTGGTCTAATTTATTGATTTGTGTTTAGCATACTTATTTTAAAAATTATGTGGGAGTACTTCTTCTGTTTAATTTGATGTATACTCCCAAGTATATAAATCCTGTAAAATATAAAGTCTGACAGAACTTCTTAATGGACATAGAAGGAAATTCTTTAAAGTAGTAATACACTTTTCATACTAAATAATGAGACCTTATTCATGATAATCCCTCAGTTACCTTGTACTGTGAAGAAATGAAATAGTCCAGACAAGTGAATATTTAATATAACTGAAATTTAACCCTTTCCTTAGAAATTGATATTTTAACTATTTTTGAAGGAAATACTTTAAAAATAATATGATTCCCTTGTTTCTTATAGATGTTTTAATGACAGAGGGTTATCATAGTAAAAATCAGTTTGTTAGCTACTTTGTAGTTATAGTTATGCTAATTAAGGTGATGTGGGACCTTGGTTTTTAGGTTCTGATACCAAGAAGGTACTGGATAACCAGTTTTATTAAAAAAAAAATCCCTAATGTCTTGTCATATTTTTGGTTATTTGCCTTTTTCTTTAATTTTTTTTTCTTTTTTGGCAATTGGGGTTAAGTGATTTGCCCAGGGTCACACAGCTAGTAAGTGTCAAGTGGGTCTGAGGCCAGATTTGAATTCAGGTCCTTCTGACTTCAGGGCCAGTGCTCTATGCACTATCCATCTAGCTGCCCTGTATTTGCCTTTTTCTTGAAAAGCTGAAATGAAGCATACGTAGTTGCATGCTTTCTAACTAGTTTTCTCTAAAATTCATTGTTCACCTAAAGACCAATACAGCTTCTCCCAAGTGGTCATCTTGCCTTCCCAGAAAACCTTTTCCTTTCCTATTACTATCAATATTTTTGACTTATTGTTACTTAAAAGATGACCTATTATTTCTGACTCCCTAACAAATTGGAAACTGGCACCTCTTTTTCTGTTTGTATTCACTCCTCTGCCTCACACTATTTGTTGCTAGAATGAGAAAGTGGGGAGTATTAGTTACTGTTTCAAGAATTTGTGCTTGAGTGGTTTGGGGAACATTTACTCCAAAGCTTTCAAATTCACAGAATTCACAGAGCAGAAAATACTTCTGCCAGCTTGACTTCCAGGTACAGTTTTTTTCCTTATCTTTCCTGAATGTTTAGTTTTTGCCAGAATTCCAGGTAAAGTCAACATTAAAAATTATACGTTTAGTGTTATAGCAACCATGAAAGTCTTGCAAGATGCCACCATAATGGATCAGTTTTCTCATGAAATCTCTTCTGTGTTAACATTTCATGTTTTGAACGCCCACGTTAGATCAATGGTGTAACATTGGCAGGAAAGAAAATGGTAAAAATATTACCAGACACTAACCTTTCATCAGAATGAGATCTATAATTATTTAATATTAGAATTCTAGGATGATGAAAATTTCTCATCACTTCCATTTCATAGAAATATGCAGCATTAATTCATGTAGGAATAGTCTGTTATTCCCTTTAAATGTAGGAGGACTTGATTTACTGTTACCTGCAGAGTAGAAGTTGGCAGTTATTGCCATTGTAGACCAGTTTTGTCAGCATTATAAAACTCCTGTGTGGATAGACCATGTCCGGAAATGAGTCCTCTGAAAAAGATGCAGTATTCATTAGCACAACACTGCAATTTGCTGATTATTTTCAGCAGCTATAGTTAGAATTCTAATGCTCTGCCTCATTTTCAAAAATAAAAGCTAACTGAAAATATAGACTGCTTAGTCAGCTGCATTTTTTTCTTTTTAAATGTTTTATTGATTTTTTTCTTCTTTTATTTTTTTTATATATTGTCACTTTACAGTGACTGCCTCCCCCTCATTCCTTCCTCCCTCCCCTATCTTCCTTTGTAACAAATAAATAGTCAAGCAAAACAAATCAACATCTGCATTATCCTGCATCTGTAGTATACTGTCTCTTTGCTGAGGGGTGAGAGACATGTTTCACCAACAGTCTTCTGAAGTCATGATTAGACATTTTATTAATCATGGTTCAGAAGTCTTTCAGTGTTGTTTTCCTTTATGTTATTGTGGTCATTTTATAAATTGTTTTTTTGGTTCTGCTAATTTGCTTAATATCAATTCATACAAGTCTTCTTTAATCTCTTCATAGAGATTCACTCTTATAAAGCACTGTTCAGGAGTCCTGGTTGAACTGGGGACCTGATATGTGGTGATGTTCAATGTCTTTAGTTGATGCATAATCTGCAAAGAATTGGAGCATCCTGAAACTTGGTAACATATGAACATGTTGTAGCTATCATCATTTTCCTATGTTTAGCTTTTCAAGTTGTAGACAGAATTCTTTTTTTCTCAAGATTAAGACAATTTTTTTCTTCCTTTTTTCCTATTTTTTTTTCTTTTGCGTTTCATTTGAAATCTATCATGGAATGACTGCCACCTGCTTCTTTTTTGTTCACATATTCAGTGTTGTACATATAAGAGTCTTCTTCTGTATTGGAACTTCATTTATCATTAGACTGAGCCCCTCTGGAAGCTGTGCTGTCCTGGTTTCTGTGCGTTAAGTGTGCTGCTGCTTGAATGTATTGATGCTGTACAAGATTACAGAAATGAAAACCCTATCTTTTAAAAAAAATCAACCTTCCCACCCCAAAAGACTGCAAAGGGTTGGGTGGCTGATGACCATTTATAGCACAGTGATGTCTTCTGAAATTGCTGACATTTATATTTACTGAATATCTACCTACTGGGAGAAAGGCATATGCAAATGATTTCAATACCAGGCAGAAAGTGATACATCTATAAGAGCAGAAAAAAGCAGTGAGCTAAGGAATTCAAAGGAGGAAGAGAGAGTTTGCAACTAGAGGTAAACAGATTTTCATAAAGAATCTAAAAGTAGAATTTCAGTAAGTGGAGAGAGAAGAGCTGGGAAGAGAGATCTAAATGTGCTTGAGGAGGTGCCCTGTTTATAATTTTACATTCTTTATGGCTGTTGAGACCTAGATGGCTGTTTGTGTGTGTATGTGCTCACATGTGTGTGCACATGAATGTATATGTGCATACCTCCCACCTTCCAACCTGTTGTTTTTTCCCCCCACTGGTTTTTTAAAAAAATTATTATCTCTTTTTCTCTACTGACAAAGTTCTGCTGCTTGCCAGCCTTCTCTTAGTTTCTAATCTCTGCTGCTACAATTACTGCCTCTTCTGTGTATTGTTGCTTCTTCTGTTCTCTCTGTTGTTGGCTATGTTCTTCTCTTCACTTTTCCCTATTGTTCTCTCCTCTGCATTCTTTTTTTTATTTCTTGGCTTTTGTGCTAAGAACCTTCCTTTTTCTGATTGATTAATTGTCTGATCACAGCATCTCAGATGTAATCTTTAGGCCTTGGACTCTAATCAACTGTTTCTGCTGTTACTGACTGTTTAGGTACTTTTTCACTGACACTTAAAAACAAACAAACAAAACACCCAAACTTCTGAGTTTGCAGAAATATGACTTCAGTAACTGTATTAATATTCTTAGTCTAGAATTTTGTTTTGATGCAGGAGCTATCTTTATAATGTGATCATTTTTGAACGCTCTCGGGTTTTTATTATATGTGTTCACTTGTTAATTGCCTTTGCTGAAAAGTTGTACATTGTGGAACAATTAAAGAATCAAAAACAAAAGTGCAAGCTTTCTCCCAGGGGTCACCAAAGACTGATCTGACTTTGAATCATTTTTGAAAACTCATATCACTTCATGTCAGTTGCAAAATTATGATTCTACATAATAGGTATCTTTGGCCTTATAATTAATGCATATAATGTAATTAACAGGGGCATGTGTGTCCCAAAACATCAATAGAGCAGGCAAAGTGCTTGACAGGAGGAGAAGAATTTAGGGGATAGACGTAAGATGTTTTTGTTCATGAATTAAGCATTGATTCTTGTGGGTTTTTTCTCTTTTTCTTTGTAGCCACCTCTTTATTTGGCAGGCCCACAACGCTTTGTTTCTTATTTCTTGTTTGCTGAAAGTGTTCATCAGTCAGATGCCTGAGGAGGAAATGCAGCTTCATTTTACTTATGAAGAAAAATCTCCAGTCACTTATCGTAAGTATTCCCTTGTAAGGGATAGAAAGCACATGGATAAACAAGACATCTGTGAAAAAGGAAAGCATAAGATTAGAGGGGGTGGCAAGTTAAAGGTTTCCTCATATCCATTCAGTCCTGCATATACTCTGTATTCCTTTCCCCCATGACATCTGAATTTTATACTTTTCCCTCCTTTTACGATCTCAGCATTGCTAAACTTTCTTTAGGACTTACTAATAGTGATTGTATTTATTTTGCTTATTAGGGTGTACCTTATCACAGTAAGTCCTCATCTTTTTGTGAGTAGGATGTACAGTTTTGTTTTTCCTTCCTGAAACTTAAATATATTTGGTAGGGAGAGGAGGGAGAGATTGTAGGTGGATGATGTTTGTATAATGAAATCCTTGAATGGGGAGGGTGATTGATTGTTATCAAGCCAAGGGGAGCTTGAATTTCTGGTCAGTTGTGGATTGTAGGGTTTGCTATTAGTATCAAGCCATGCCCTCCTCTTTACTGGAAATCCCAGAAGGGCATTGGGCTTGGCAGCATCGTCTTCTCTAATGACCACCAGAACTAAGAGAGAGAGAGAGAGAGAGAGAGAGAGAGAGAGTGTGTGTGTGTGTGTGTGTGTGTGTGTGTGTGTACATATGTATATATTCATGTTTATAGATGCCTAGTTTTAATATTGAAATAGAAGCTTTCATGCCTATGTACAAAGCCCCAGCAACAAGAAAAAGAGAAGGAAATATTTTTTCTCTTTTGTTGAAATGAAAGCCAGTTGCCTGAGAGCAGATTAGGGACTTGCTTTCCCTCCTTTTCAATATTCTGTTGCTTTTCCTTCCATTTCCCATCTTTATCCCAAGGAGTAAGAGATACTGCTTGATATTGCAAGTAGGTTTTGCTGGGAAATAATTCTTTTATAGTCTGAAAATATGGAACTCAATATTTGACAGCAAAAGCTACAATTAAAAATCACTTTAGGAATCTGCCTAATGTTAGTTTAATTTTTAAGTTGTTAATAATAGACTACTACTATTGAGTAGTTACATCACTTTAAAGTGATATTAGATTTTTAAAGGTATTAGATTTTAAAACAAGGTAGAAATATGAGTCTAAAGTATAGAGGTTTGTATTTCTAGCACTTCTCCCAAACATTTATTTAAAAGGAATCCAAATGTTGGCAGATCTTACCGAGAGAGAGGCTTCAGTGAAGTATGAGTATGAGCCAGGTTTTTGCCTTCAGATGATCCTAGCTAAGTCCCGTGTGTCATCACTATCAAATTGGGGGTGAAGAACATATATACTAAGGCACAGAGAATTTTCAATCTGATGTTGAAGGGAATGTCTACAATAATGAAGTCATGGGTGTTTGAAGTGTTGAAATAAGTATAAGTAATGGGAAGTTTTAGATGCTCAGTAAATACTTTTTGGATTTATTTGACTTGAGAGTCAGTGTCATGTAGTGGCTAGAGTATTTGGGTTCAAAAACTACTCAGACAATAGTTATATGACCCTGTAGTTTAGATGCCTCAGTTTTGTCATTTAAAAAACAAAACAAAATGCTCTATCCCCATCCATCTGTCCACCACTGTAGTTCTGGTGCTCAGAGTCTCCTAATTTGTCTCCCTTCCTCCAGTCTCTCACTGTTTCTGTCACTCCTTGCTCAAGAAACCCCAGTGGCTCCTTCTTGCCTGAAGGGTAAAGACTTTAGTTTGGCCTCCAAAGCATTTTACAGTCAGCCTCCACCTTACGTTATGTCCTCTCCTTCATGTATCATGCATCGCAACTTGGCTTCCTGGCTTGCTGCTCTCCATACACAAACTTTCAAATCTGTCTCATTGCGTTTTTATAAGTTGTCATTCATGCCTAGAATGAAATTTTTCCTCACATCTACCTCTTTGAATCCCTAACTTCCTCTAAAGTGTAGCTCAAGTACAACTAATGCCATTAGTGCCCAGTTGATGGAAATTGCTTTTTATCTATTTTGCATTTTTTTTATATATTATCTAATGTAAATGTCTTGATGGCAGACTTTTTTTTTTAATAAATGCTTATGAAATGAGTGAATGAATTACATGGGCATAATAATTACACCTTTCTCAAAAGAATTGTTGTTAGGCTTAAATGAGATAATGTAAATAAAATGCTTTGCAAAACTTAAATTGCTATACAGATATAAACTATTATTAATTAACATTAGGAAATTTTTTAAATCATTTTTAGGGATAGTAAAATTCAGATTCTTCTTTCTGATGCTAAAATACTGACTCTAGAATTCTGTGATTACAAAATATGGAGAGAATTAGCATGACCATTGTAGTTAAATGAATAGTATGCTTAGAATGTAAGACATATTTTTATTAATATAATAATAACGACAACTATTTTTATTAATCTCATCACTAGATGGTCATCAACTCATTAAACCATCTTCTAAGGTATGAGGGACTGGTACTTGAAGATTTCTGACAAGGGGCAGGTCATTCCACTTTTGGAATGTCTTGATTGTTAGGAACCTTTTTTTTCCCCCAGTCAAGTTGAAATCTGACAGTCTTCAGCTTTTACCCATTGCTCCTAGTTCTGCTATATGGGGTCAGAAAGCACTTATGAAATATTATCTGTGAGACACTGTCCTAAGCTCTCAGGCAGGACAAACTTAATCTATTTTCACACGACATGTTGCCCTTCATGTACTTGAAAGCGACTATTGATGTTTCTTAAGACTTTTCATTTTCAGGCTAACATACCCAGTTCCTTCAGCGAGCTCTCATATGGCATGGTCTCCAGCCCTTTCATAATCTGGTCATTTTCTTCTGGATGCTTTCAAATGGATCAAAATCCATCTTCATATATCACATTCAGGAATGAAGACACTATTCCATATGTAGTCTGCTATGGTAGAGGTCAGCAGATCCAGTGCTTTTTTTTCCCCCCGTTATCCTACACTACAACAAAAATAGGTGTTACAAAGTCTATATACCTTAATCATAGGAGACACCATCATTTATTGTTTATTTACTCTTATTGTAGCCATAATTCAAACAATCTTGGTTTTTGGTTTCCTAGTCTGTAGCAGATTTGAAGTAGCAAATTAGAAGTAGGCTGGAAGACTACAAGAGGAAAACACGCTCCATAAACATTTATTAAGTGCCTACTGTGTGTCAAGTGCTGTATTAAGTGCTAGACACTGACATTCTCCACCAGTGCAGATCATAGCTCTTTATTGCCTAAATAAATGGTCTTCATGAATTGCAGTAGCCACACACACAAAAAAAAGGTCCTGGTGATCAACCTTTTGATTATAAACTTTTCTACACTGAGCTAAGGTGGTCCTCTGGGATGTATCCACAGCACTGAGTCTTTTGAGTTTAGTAGGATTTGTCAGTACTCATAGTCCTCTGACATAGCTTTAAGAAATGGTCATGTCGACACCAGTGTTAGAATAGGAGTGTTAGAATAGGATTTTAGTGGAGGAAGCATGTAAATAATGAAAAGCATGCAGTAACAGTAAAAGCACAATAGTTCCTGGCTATTTAGTGTAGATCTCAACTGTCCACCATTTTGCAGCAGCCCTTCAGGACATCTCTTTATATTCAGTAAAAGAAAAGAAAAATTATAATGATGACTCTATCATTGGAGAAAGGTTAAATTGGGCTCATCATACTCTTAAGAAGCCAAGGAAATTTTTTTTAAAGTGGAATTTTATTGTTTTCTTTTGTTTTACATCATCTATATTTCCTAGTGTATCATTTCCCCATACCTTCCCAGAGAACCATCTCTTATAACAAAGAACAAATAAGAGGAGAAGAAAAGTTAAGCAAAATTAAGAAATCAAGAATAAGTTGACATTATATGCAGTGTTATACACCTATACTCCCTAAACTCTATAAAGAGGGGGAAGGTATGTTCTATTTCTGATTGGTTGCTTTTGCAGGCAGTATGGTTAGCCTCTTCTTTGACTCACTTTCAGAGGGAAATTTTCTATAGATTTCTATCTCAAGTGTAAAAGCTAATAAAAAAGATGGATATGTGTAAAACTTTAATGATTGGGAAATTCACTTATGCTCAACTCCTCATTTTTTATTCTGGATAAATGAGGCATTTAATGTACATAGTTTACCATGTAAGTATTTTCTTTTTAAAAATTTGCTCTTGTTAAGACTGTTAACTATGTCTCAGTTTCTTTTTTTTCCATTTTTTTTTTTTTTGGCGAGGCAGTGAGGTGAAGTGACCAGGGTCACACAGCTAGTTAAGTGTCTGAGGCCAAATTTGGACTCAGGTTTCAGCCTTTTTTTAAAAAAAGTTATTTATTTTTAGTTTTCAACATTCATTTTCATAAGATTTTGAGTTCCAAATTTTCTCCCCATCTATCCCCTCCCCTCACTTCAAGATGGCATGCAGTTTGATATAAGTTCTATACATATACATTCATATTGAACCTATTTTCACATTAGTCATGTTGTAAAGAAGAATTAGAGCCAATGGGAGAAACCATGAGAAATAAAGGACAAACAACAAAAAAAGAAAAAAAAAGAGAGAGAGAGCAAATAATATGCTTCAATCTGCACTCAGATTCCATAGTTCTTTTTTTGGATGTGGACAGAATTTTTCATCATGAGTCCTTTGGAGTTGTCTTGGATCATTGCATTGCTGGAAGAGACAAGTCTATCAAAGTTAGTCATCACACATTGTGACTGTTGCTGTGTACAATGTTCTCCTGGTTCTGTTCAGTTCATATAAGTCTCTCCAGGTTTTTCTGAAGTCTGCTTGCTTATCATTTCTTATAGCACAGTAGTATTCCATTACATTCATGTACCACAACTTGTTCACCATTCCCTAAATGATGGGCATCCCCTCAATTTCCAATTCTTTGCCATCACAAAAAGAGCTGCTATAAATATTTTTGTACACGTGGGTCCTTTTCCTATTTGTTAATTATCTCTTTCAGATATAGATCTAGAAGTAGTATTGCTGAGGAAAGGGAAATGTGCTGGGAAAATAGCACATTTTTATAGCCC